CATTGTTATAACTCTTGTCATGTTGACAATCATCAATTATATTCTAGTTGGCATTGTGGATTGCTTCTTCTTCTTAGTATTTCTTCTCTTTACTATCTATCGACATCGATTGCTTTATTTGATATCTAGATTTCATTTCATATCTGTTCCTTTTGTTTAGAAACAAACAAGCACACTGCCTTTGCACTTCTGATCATTGATGATAGGTCGTCAATACTCTAATGAATCAGGCACATAAACTTGGAATATATATGTAGCCTCCTTTTGTTATTGGCACGGTCCTTTTTCATTCATACATCTTTCTTTTACTTTTCCGTTAACTTATCTTCCTCAAATCCTCGTATCGTATTTTAATTTTTATCTGGTGAAAGTTAATATGATTTGACCATTTTGCTTTTCGATACTTGCCAACTAACAAATAAAGATAATGATAAATAAGAAGAAAAATTATCTCGTCATCTGCAAATAAAATTGAAACTATCTTGATAATGGATTTGGGTGTGAATGTGTTGCCGTGTGGTGAATATGAGTATTCATTTTCCATCTTTCTATCACTCTTACTCTTCCCTTAACTGATGAGTCCATCCATCAGACGAAGAGTAATCAAGCATCTCAGCAACAAAAGGTAACTTATAGTGATGCATGTAGTTGAACTGCAAGAGATCAGTTTGAATTGTTCGTTTAGTGTAATCCAAATTGAATTAATATCTAGCCATCGTACTTAGCAACGATGCCAATAGCAGAACAGACAGCACTATATATGAACATTGTTGACACCGGAAGGAAATACATTTTTCCAACCAAGTTTAATTGAAGCTCATATTGAAGATTTATTTGCCAAACATAACGAGTACAGATATTTTGATCCAGCAATAAACCAAGCTGAATCACTCAAATCGTTGTCCAGCGACTTGTATACAGATAGTGTTTGATTTATTTACGGCCTAATACAATATATTGACGGTGACGAATCAAGAAATGTCACTATATCAATTATAAAAGAAAAACACTTGATCATTCAGCTGTGTCCAAATTCCCAGAGTTCGGGAACTCTTTGGGAATTGAGAACTCAAAAATCGATTAACAAAAACGAGCGCTAAGAAGCTAAAACATCCCAACGATATCAGGGAACTCTGGGAGGGTGTGGGTGTGGGTGTGAGTGTGATTGGGTTTTTTTTCTATCCTAAGACCGACACCCACAGCCACAGCCACACCCTCTTCGTCACGTTGCCTCTGATAAAATATGTCTGATACAAAATCTGTAGTTCAAATATTGTTCGTTGTAATAAAAAAAATTCTTGATGTAGTAGTGGACAGTACGGCATAACAAAGTTCGACATTGTTCAAAAGACTTTTGGATGACGTATTGGTCGATGTTATGCCCCAGCAAAAAGTATAGATTCTTCAGTCAATAGTTCCAACATTTGTCCTACTGATGTAGTTTCATGACAATTAATCTCACAGATTCAAGAAAATTATTCAAAACTTTGGCATGAACGAAGTACAAATATGTATGAAAGAATCAAGTGAATTTGAGCCTCTGTTTGACAGACTACTCTAATTTGAAATAAAATGGAATAGAGATCATAAGATGTAGAATTTCTCCTTATAATTGGAGAGATTTTATTATGAGCGAATCAATAAAGCATTTGGCCAAAATCATAGCGAATCCCAAACGAAACTCTTAGACTATGACAAACTTCCATACCAACATGAGCGAAATCACCGATCTCAAAAGTTCAGCTTCCTTTTATGTCTATTACTTGGATAATCGCTTAAGCAGTTCTTGAGATACATGAGGAATCGTGAAAGCTGCCTTAATTTTAGCTATGTTCTGGCTCAGAATACAGTATTTCTAAAGATGGCTCACTTTAAGAATTTTTCCAGATCTTTGAATTTTGGATCAGTTATTCCACTATCTGAGGTCTGTCGTTGCGAAGCTCAAAATCCTTTTGCTTTTGGTAGTATCTGATTCTTCTTATTAACTAACTAAGAATGACTGCAGTGAAGATTGAACTCGAACACAAACATTCGGGTTCAGTGAACGCCTAGTTCAGAAAGATCCAAAATATAGCTAAAAAATTCTACTAAAATGTGTGGTCTCAAAAGAATTAGCTCAAATAAATGTTATCAGAGCATAATTATCATATCAAATAATGAATTTTGTTTCATTTATTTATCGATCTTGAATAAGGAAATAAATAAGTTGCATAAAAATTACTCGAGTCTCGATTAATAATGTCATTATTCTTTCTTCGATACTTTGACAAAAACGAGTTTTGTCGGACGGCTCAGTCCTGATAACTGCTTCTTGTTGACTGTCGCTTCAAAATTGATAGATTCTTTCATGATTTCCATTTTGCACGCTCTCGATAATTGAATAAGTAACACTTTGATCTGCATTTTAACATATCTTTCCCCAGTACAAGTATGTTTACCTCGTCCAAATGGTGCCACTCTATATAGATCAGCCTTATTTTCTTCCCTTGGTAGTAAATGTCTTTCGGGATCGAATTTCTCCGGATTAAGAAATAAGTCCTCAGCACGGGTCATAGGTTTTGCAACAAGATTTCCATTTGGAATATATTTTTCGTTCGATAATGGAATGTCTTCTTCAGCATATCGCATACTTAATTGAGCATCAGTGCGCATCCTAATGACTTCATGAATACATGCTTGAATAAATTCCATAGAGTTTAAATATTCAATGGTAAGTTCACCAATTGGTGGTACACGATCGATTTCTTCTTTAATTCGTTGTCCAATGTCATCATGTTCATGACGAATCCATTCAAGAATCATGGATGCTGCAACTGTATACGTGTTGACTTGTGCTGGAAATAAAGTTGAATAAGCAAGAAATCCAACTAATCGAGGTGTGAATGGTTCTCCGTGTTTGTCCAACTCTTCTTTAGAATATTTCACTAATTCGTATGCAATATCCATATCACTTGGTTCAATGTTGTTTTTGATCATTTCCAAACATCTTTCAATATCAGGCATCAGTATTTGTATCCATCGGTTCCACACAGTTTCTATTTCATTTCTAAATGAAAACCACCTTTTAAAATTATTTAAAATTGGATTGAGCAATATCTTTTCAGCATCTAATTGAGTATAAAGGTTAATAAGTTCATTGGCATGATTTTTGTATACCCTTGGCGAGATAAAATTGATAGAATTCATACGCAAGACAAGACGATACATGAATTCAAATAAATTGATCTTAACTTCATTGCCATTTTCCTCCCAAAATTGACCATTCTTTGTATTAAAATATTCGTATACAACAGTTTCAGTATTTGTTACCATACGACGCAAATTATATGAAGTCATAATATTGTGAATGTGGGGTATTGAACTGTATTTTAACATGTAATGACTCTCGGGATATACCGATTTCAAAAGAATTTGAAATCCTCTTGTTAGACTCAGCTGATGCACAGGTGCATTGTAGTATTTCTTCACATCAATATGTTTCGTGACAAATGTTATATAGTGTCCTAACATGAGTATTGTAAAGTTACCACCATACTTATTACGCCATTTGTTGATTGACGCTTCAATATCTAACAATGAGAGTAGAGGACCCAAAAATGGACAGTACCATGGTTCAATAATAACAGGAGGATATTTTGATTCAAAATTGTATCGTCGAGAAGAGAAGTATCGTACATAAACATGGAAGATGGCAATAGCCACAATATAAAATAGGATCAAGAAGATCCACCAAGCCATTTTAATTTTGAAATTACTGCAATTATATAAATCACTCGATTTTCAGAAATATATCGTACTATTCCAAAGCAATAGCTTATAATTATTTAGACTTTGAGAAAGTAAAAGAATGCTAAAAGATAATGGAAAATGCAAAACATAATAAATTTTCTATCTATACTCCAGTCTGAGTTCACCACAGTGTAAGTCACTTTCATACATGAGTTTTGTTCTGTTTCAAAATAATGGCAATGACTCATTTCGTTGAGTTCAATGACATATATCAAATTCTATTATAAAAAATATCTTGACACTTCTATTAAGGTCATATTAAACATAAATCTTTTATCGAAAAAGAGTTATTTTTAAATCAACTTTCTCATATCTGTTGTAGTTTGCTCTGCATTCCTCCTTTCTGAATTTAACTCAAAGAGAAGAAGAAAAAGAATATTCTCATTTGTCATAAACGTGATATCAATAGGATACAACTAAATAACAATTCTAAGTTAGATCTACTTTTTCTGATAGTTGAAAAGTTATAAAAAGGTCATTCATTTCAGAACTAAGCCTTCGTCATGTTTTGATAAAAAACTCTACCCTCATATGAACTTCTTTCATCATTTTAATTAGTTGACGCATCACACTAATTAATCATACATTAAATTTTACTCATAATCAAGAGAAATACGTAGTTGAGAAGTCAACCGTTTCTCATAACATCGTGCCTATACTATTGTACGATATACCGTAAGCAATATTCCTATAAGAGGCAAAAATGTGTTTTCCATCATTTGAGACAGATTTCTATTGGCAAGAAACTATTTTATATTGCTTGGAAAATCACGCTTAAGAAAATAAACCATTTTTGGGAAGAAAATGTTTCACAAAACCCCCTGTATAGAACCGTTCCCCACATTTATCGAAAACCGTTTTGTTGAATGATATACTGTATCATGCGTCATACAGCACAGTTTTACGCATTGATTGCGAATAACGGTTTGATTTGGCACTAAACTGCTTATTTTAAGCATGAAAAATAGCGTTAATGATAGCAAAGAGGATTTTTTTCGAGATCTATAACTAAGTTCACGTTGATTGTCACTGTATTCACCACTATAACAAATACTAGACAGTACATGTGAGATTATTCTCTGAAAGTTTTAACTTAATCGTATTAAAACTTTTTTTTTATCATTCACTGCATACGATGGGATCGGTTTTTGCAGCTATTTTCAAGTGGTTAATTAATTTCTCTTCACTTTATTTGTTTGTCAATCGATATAACATGTTTACACGATGAAACTTGTGAATCAATCATTCGTTTTCTCTTGTTTTATGCTTTACAATGTTCTCAGTCAGTTGGTCAGTTAACTGAGTTCTTAGTAAGCAGCAATTTAGGAGTAGATTTTTCAAGATGGACTTTCTAAGTATTCGACTTGATTTCTGGAAATTACATTTTAGTGCAAGGTCGACTAATAATGAGTGTATTGATTCTAATATTGAACTCTGAAATTGAATAGTTTCCTTGGTGGCCGTTACATTAACCACTGCACGATACTTCAAGGGATTGATATAATAGTAATTGACTCAAGGTTATCATATAATCTCAACGATGTCTAAGTTCGAATAGAATACTTTCAAGTGCGTGAAGAGTGATACTACCAATATCGCTGCATTGATTATTACACTGTAGACAAAAAAAGGTTTATTGCTGAACCTTAAAAGTTTTGCATTAGGGCACGGAACTTTTTAGGTTTCGTATAATGAAAGTCATTTCGCACTTTCCGTGCCAAACCTATTTTAGTTCAGAAAAATTCGATGAGTTTAGTATCTTTTATACTAAATCATTTCTAGGTTCAGAAAAAAACAAAGAGTTTCGTACTTATCACACGAAAGCATCGTGCCTCCCTAGAATCAGAAAAAGTTTCGTATCTTCTTTATGAAACTCCGTATGGTTTGGTAGAATAAGGTAAGGTTGTGTATGATTTGTGGATAACCTTCAATAGTTTCGTTCGATAAAAAAAATCTTCGTATTTTTTTGTATAGAACCTACTGTATCTAGTTCCTATATTGAAAGGCTCCGCAGTTATCTTACGAAACCCGTCCCAGTTCCCTAGAATGTAAGATGGTATTGTATTTTTCTTCCAGAACTATTTTCGTATATTGAGAAAAGAAAAAGAATCCATATATTTTCTACAAAACCTTTTGCGTGAGCGATATCTGTCAAAAATTTTTTCCCAGCCTTTTTCTGTATTGCCGGCAAGCGAAAGCTTTGATGCAAAACCATTAATATCAGCTGCATGTCAAAAGATTTCATGTAAGCCAACTCGCCTAGATGACATGTAAAAATGGTTCATTATTCGTTAAAATCATCCAATAGTACATGATTAGAATCATATATTTTCATTTATCCTTCACTATCACTAAAAACTGCAATTGTTAAGAGTCAATGGGATTGGAAATCATTAGAGTCGATTCACAGATATATAAGTATTAGGTATAAAGTTGCTGCTATTATCTCTATTTCTCATCCTACTTTGCTCACTTGTATAATACACACTTAGGCACTGTTTTTGCATATTGATTTTATGAAGAGTAAGAATGAATTTGAGCATATACCTACCGAGGTATAGCCATAGGGGTATCTCTGTAGACATATAGGCATAAGAATATAGTTATAAAGGCA